GCCTCCACGTCGCCAATCACGTATTAGTCCACGTGCACGTGTCACCTGAGATGGGGAATATCCAGGGGGAGTGCCCTTTTAGCTGAAACCACAAGTCGCCAATGACACAGCCACTCATTTAACATCACCCCGAAAGGACAATATGCTGAGTCACTGCTGACCAACATTTGAACTATTAACAAAGCACTACCTAGACATACAATTATTCATCTTCTTGGTTCTTTCGGTAAAGTCACGTAGAAGGGAAGTAATAAAATAATAAAAATAAAACATAATAAAACAATTCTCACGACGTTTCGGCCACAACGCAAGCAGCCGTCCTCAGGTGAAAACCAGGTCCGTCGAGGCGACAGAGTCTGAATGAAACAGCACACGGGCTTAGAGCATATATATAAGCTGGGCGCATTGACAAAGGAATTTGCATATCAACAGGAATTTAGCATATTTATGGGAAATGCAGGAATGTAATTAGTACTGCATATGCATGTGCATTATGCAGGATTAACAGCATCAAAGGGAGCTGCAGTTACTGCTGCTGCAGCAGTTGCTGCTGCTGCAGCAGTTGCTGCTGCTGCTGCAGTTTCTGCTGCTGCTGCAGTTGCTGCTGCTGCTGCACTTGCTGCTGCTGCTGCACTTGCTGCTGCTGCTGCACTTGCTGCTGCTGCTGCACTTGCTGCTGCTGCTGCTGCACTTGCTGCTGCTGCTGCTGCACTTGCTGCTGCTGCTGCTGCACTTGCTGCTGCTGCTGCTGCACTTGCTGCTGCTGCTGCTGCACTTGCTGCTGCTGCTGCTGCACTTGCTGCTGCTGCTGCTGCACTTGCTGCTGCTGCTGCACTTGCTGCTGCTGCTGCACTTGCTGCTGCTGCTGCTGCTGCTGCTGCACTTGCTGCTGCTGCTGCACTTGCTGCTGCTGCTGCACTTGCTGCTGCTGCTGCTGCACTTGCTGCTGCTGCTGCTGCACTTGCTGCTGCTGCTGCTGCACTTGCTGCTGCTGCTGCTGCACTTGCTGCTGCTGCTGCTGCACTTGCTGCTGCTGCTGCTGCACTTGCTGCTGCTGCTGCTGCACTTGCTGCTGCTGCTGCTGCTGCTGCTGCTGCACTTGCTGCTGCTGCTGCTGCACTTGCTGCTGCTGCTGCTGCACTTGCTGCTGCTGCTGCTGCACTTGCTGCTGCTGCTGCTGCACTTGCTGCTGCTGCTGCTGCACTTGCTGCTGCTGCTGCTGCACTTGCTGCTGCTGCTGCTGCACTTGCTGCTGCTGCTGCTGCACTTGCTGCTGCTGCTGCACTTGCTGCTGCTGCACTTGCTGCTGCTGCACTTGCTGCTGCTGCTGCACTTGCTGCTGCTGCTGCAGTTGCTGCCTTATCCATTTTAATATAACACTATGTATTATTCTACCCACCCTAATGTGTATCATACTGCTATATGTTTACTGTACAATTACGACACCATACATTACTCTGCACACTGCACCATGCAAGTGAGTGGAACGCGGTCTGAAAGTCACCGTTAACGTGAACACAATCAGTTAAGATCCGAATCTTAACTGATTGTGTTCACGTTAACGGTGACTTTCAGACCGCGTTCCACTCACTGGCATGGTGCAGTGTGCAGAGTAATGTATGGTGTCGTAATTGTACAGTAAACATATAGCAGTATGATACACATTAGGGTGGGTAGAATAATACATAGTGTTATATTAAAATGGATAAGGCAGCAACTGCAGCAGCAGCAGCAGCAAGTGCAGCAGCAGCAGCAAGTGCAGCAGCAGCAAGTGCAGCAGCAGCAAGTGCAGCAGCAGCAGCAGCAGCAAGTGCAGCAGCAGCAGAAACTGCAGCAGCAGCAGCAACTGCTGCAGCAGCAGTAACTGCAGCTCCCTTTGATGCTGTTAATCCTGCATAATGCACATGCATATGCAGTACTAATTACATTCCTGCATTTCCCATAAATATGCTAAATTCCTGTTGATATGCAAATTCCTTTGTCAATGCGCCCAGCTTATATATATGCTCTAAGCCCGTGTGCTGTTTCATTCAGACTCTGTCGCCTCGACGGACCTGGTTTTCACCTGAGGACGGCTGCTTGCGTTGTGGCCGAAACGTCGTGAGAATTGTTTTATTATGTTTTATTTTTATTATTTTATTACTTCCCTTCTACGTGACTTTACCGAAAGAACCAAGAAGATGAATCCCTGCAGTCACGAAAGCTTTAAATCGAAATACAATTATTCGTTTGTGTGGTATGTATTATGCTATATTTCTTATGGCTTAGACTTCAAATACAACATACATATTTTAAGCTGGCTCTATTGACTAGTAAATTAGGACAGGATAAATCATCGTAAAAAAAAATATAGAAAAAACTCAACTCATGCGAACAATAACATTATGAACATATCACAGCGAAATCACTTTGTTTATTTTAGTAGCTTGGAAACCCCACAGAGATGACGTTGGTGACCTTATAATTTCTTCATATTGGGTTGGATAATTTAAGACTGTGTCACTGTATATTCTCTAGCCAAACCTGTATGCCAGGTTATAACGTTTGACATTTCCAGCTGAATCATTGCCAACTAAAGCGACATTAAGTGGTCATACGAGAGCATACTTGGATCCACAGACACTTATTAAAGCTACGTGCAATTGTTAGCACTCTGGACTTGCAATACAGAGGTCATCCAGTTCAAATGACACAATTGTGTGAACAACAGATTATGGTGCAGGATTTTCAGTTCAAAGTGTATCGGCACTTGTTAACAGTTCTCACATTTCATAATAGGAACTGTTTTGATGTCTGTCAAGTATCATATGCTATCCATTGAATGAAAATTTGTAGACCAAAAAACAATACCCAGCAATGTATTTTGAAACTTGCATTGCAGAGTGTTCCGAATAAAATGGTTCACTGTATTGGCATTGCTTACATTTCTAAATATTTCTATATCATTATGGGCTTGCACAGAAACAACTAATATAAAAAACAGCAGAAAGTCTGCCTGGTATCTGCTGGCAGATGTTGGTTTTTAATTCAACATTTTACAGCGCTATGTTCTTCTCTGTTTGCCGGTTGATGCCTTGGGTAGTGTGGAGAATGGGGTTATACAAACAATCCCTGTGCACTTTGATGCCTCTAATAGGTTGCTTTTACTCACCAACCCTTCCACTCTGCCATGGCCACGCCCAAGGGCAAACCAGGGGGGAGCACTTACACATGGGTTCCTGGGGCCTAGCTATCTCATATGCTATTTCCACAAGCCAAAGTCTCTGGGCAATCTGAAATTTTCAGCCCAGTGGTGGTCCAGTAACAGCACCAGGACCTAGATTATTGTCCCTATGATCCATGAGCCACAGGATTCCATGACTTAAACCCCGTCCTCCACGTCAATCCCTCCACTCCTGCCTACTCCTCGGGTTGCCATTCTATCCTAGTTTTCCCACGATTGTCCTCCTTTTGAGGGATGTAGCAGTGAAAATAAATCTTGCAGTTTTCCTCGGAAAACTGAAGCTCAGAAAGAAACCGCAAGAAAACCGTGACCAGATACCGTGCTGCGCAACGTGAATCACTGCCGTCGCAAAACTCAATCGAAGCACAGCAGTAGCAATTAATTCCGCCTTACCTGAACCATTGGATGTCTTTACTCTTTGGTTCTTTCGGTAAAGTCACGTAGGTATAATATAACATAAATCACGACGTTTCGATCGCAACACAAGCAATCATCATCAGGTTGGAAATCACATCAAGAACATTTTTTTGCTGAAGTGGGATAGAGTGTGTGTTGTGATCGAAACGTCGTGATCGAAACGTCGTGATTTATTTTATTTTATACCTACGTGACTTTACCGAAAGAACAAAAGAGTATGGATTCCTGCAGTCACGAAAGCTTCAAATCTAGATTCATTGGATGTCTTTCAAAATGTATATAGCTATTTTAAGTCACTATTCACTATGCCATGCGCAATAATAAGAAGTAAGAAGAGGTTCCGGCTGCTTTCAGTTGCGTAATAATACACAACTCAAGACAATGCATTTAAATGCAGTTCTGTCTTCTGCTATTGGGGGATATTATTCTTCCCTTGTTCTGTCCTGGGTGTTTTTGTACCTAAAAAGTGGCAAGCATAGCCCAGATTATTATCCATTTGCACAATGAGCCTTAGAATCCATGAGTTCAGCTCCCTCACCCACTCCAACCACTCCACTGCTTCCTCCTGCCTAAGTCCTGTGGTCAGGGATAGGGATCAGGAAGCAAAATGTTAACATAGACGTGGGTTAGGTAAGATTATTATGAGCTCAAGTCTACTGCTTTGTAATGTTCGAGTGCCATTTCTATTTTGGCTTGGAAAATGTAAAATTAGCAAGGCACACATCTTAGTTTGATTTTCCTGTGACATCACGACTGGGTCCTGGTTTTGCTCAGCTATAATCGGTGCGGTTTGCGTTTGACAAGGGAGCTCAGGAGCTCAGTTGAGTAAAACCACAGTGTCGGTTTAACGAGCCTGGTACAACATGGGTACACACTGCACGCTAAGCCTGGTGCCATCTAGCACTATCAATCAGCGCTCACCGAGCCCCTCTAGGGCCGATACTACACCCACACCCTTGTGGTATCCACAATGTCGTTAAACCGAACGCCGTGCCTCCTTAAGGCCGGCACCACACAGTGACATCCCGCGATGTCACTACATCACCCCCCCTTCGTAGCACTCAGCCATCCCGGCTGTCAACTCCCCCTTCAACAAAAGAGTAAAACGAACAACCCCTTAGTGTGCCTCATCAAATAAATACCCCAACCCATCTATACACTATGTACACTATATACAAAATATACAGTAACTAACCGTGGAAGGGGACGGAAGTACAGAACAAAAATAGGCAAAAACAAAGGAAGAGAGAGAAGGGAAGAGAGAGAAAAAAAACGCAGTAACACACGAAACCTCGGGACCCCCTCCAGCACCAGCATCTCCCACCCTCACCGTGTAACAACCCCCCTAAGCACGATAAAGGCTAGGTTCAGACAATAACCGATACGGCCTGCAGAGTGCGACAACTAATTGACGATGTGGGAGCGTGTGAAAAGTATTTGATCGAGTCCTTGTGGCCGGGCCCCCAGGGGAGGTGGGCTCGCTTGTCCTGGAGGTCCTGGGGGGAATTTGCAATTGTCCCGTCGAACCCGGCTCCTCACGAAGAGCAGTCGGCCGGGCTGATGGGTTCTCCTCTCCCGAATCCAGTGGAGATGGCACAGGTGGCGGCTTGGGGGACGTTAGACGTGCAGCACCTGAGGACGGGATCACATGACTCCCCTGAGGACCAACCTCAACGGGTACACACCTCAGCTCGTCGGACACATCTGACACTCGGCCCCTGCGTAGTGGAGATGGGATGAGGCGAGTGGGTTGTACAAACCAACTCCGCCGACCCCAGCAAATTTAACACACTGGGGCCGAACGACCCAAATTACAACAACCGGTACCCTTCAAGGTTTAAACAATTTGGGTGACATACCCACAGGTACCTGAGGACAGTGCAGCCAGGCTCTGTCACCTGGAGCTCATTCATGTATTGAAAGACGGAGACCCCTCAGGCGCTCATTTGCCAATTTACGCGAATTGGAATTTTCTCTGGAAGCCTCATGCACTTCCGAAAGGCTCTGAAGGGTAAAGCGCATGGAATCCAAAATTTTAGATTTAGCCTTGTTTGGCTCGACTCATAATTTGACGTAAAAAAAATGGTGAGTAGCTGGTGAACACGTGAGGGGCCATTCTACAGGCAGCCAGGACCCCGGGAACATGCAAGTCGCCTCCGGCAGCTGAAAATTCTTTAACAAGGGTAGTCGTTACCTGAGGGATGGAATCTCAACAGGCGAACTCAACGCAGTCTCAGATTTTGCGGGCTCTCCGCTCTGCGAACAAAATGGCGGCCGCTTGTGCAGGCTGTGCCACGGAAGTTTCCCGCTGGCGGGAAATGGCGACGGGATGCTCAACCCCGCGCAGCTCCGGTGCTCTCTCCTTCACCGTTGGCCCTTCGCGGTCGAGCTCCGCGACCAATGCCGCCACGGTTTCGAGGAGTTCAGCGAGGCGGGTGCGGAATGTGCGGTGCTCTCTCCCCAATGTCGGTGAGCTGTCACTGAGATGATCTTCGCAATGCTCCGCTGATGGCGCCTCACTCCCTTTCTCCGGGGTCGCCATCCCCGGGGCTGTCCATGACACATTGTGTACGTTACAAATTGCATTATTATTAACGTAGGAGCGCTTTGCATTGGATCTTGTGCAAATGCCATGAATAATTGTGTGACGTGGGAGGAAACTACCTAGAGACGGGATAACATTCAAAGGTCCACACAGATGGGCTGACGAACACACGTGCCGTACTGCCATCCAATGATACTTGAAAAAACTTGTTTGAGATTCAGTATGACTGTCCTAGGTAAACAAAGAGTGTTATTGATGAATTTCGTATGAATGCCTCTGCCAACACATTGTAATATGTTTTCTATTCATGTTTACATTAATGAGCAATTTTGGATCGTGGGGTTTATATATACATTCTGAGCATGGCTCAGAATAAAAAAAACAGCTTTGTTGAGTACAGAATGTGCAGCTGTAAATGTGTTATTGCTTTTAAATGTAACCATGCCTGACCAAAAGTAGGGTGAATTGTGGCACTTTGGCAGGAGTAATGTCCTGTAGGTTATAGTGCCTCGCGAATGAAAGCCTTACAGCTTGAGATAATGGGCACACGTCCCAGCATGTGACCCTCCTTGATTGTACAGCATCTACAAAATTGAGCAAACAAACTATAAAAAGAGACGAGAGGTTCAGGTTGTTATTGCTAAACTGACATATTTCACCGGAAATAGTTTATTGATATGGACGCATGCATGTTGAATTTCTTTCGCACCGTATGTAGCCAACCGACCTAGACTGCATCCATTTATGTTGCGTGTTTTGTAATATAACTTTGTACCACAGACATTTGGAAATAAACTAGAATTGGCAATTCAGGAATTTTGCAAAAGATCACGGATTACACATTTCAATAATGCGTGTGTGAGTAATTTCTATCAAACAGTTGGAAAGTCCCTAAGGGGAGTAACTATGTATAAATGACTAAATATATGCCTGCACACGTTGTTTTCATTGATTGTCATAAAGCATGTTCTAAAGTGGGTTTCCTTGTTAAAGGTACAGGATGGGTGGGCCTGCTAGGCTAATCCTTATCATCATTATCAGCCATGATCTATCCACTGCTGAATGAATGCATCGTCATGTCGTCGCCATTCATCATGGTCCTGTGATGCAGCAATCCATTGCACTCCTATACATTATCTTATTTCATTGCTCCATCTGCGAGGTAGTTTTACTTTTGGCCATGAACTCTCCTTTGTCTGCCAATCCATCATCAGTCTTGACCAGGGATCATCATCCCTTCCAGTGATATCTCCTGCCCAAACGCAGTTACTCTTCTTAACAGATCATATGTTTCTAACGTGCGGTCATTTTTTGTACCATGTATTTATCTTTTTGTCTCTCAGTGTAATTCCAAGCATGCACCCCTCAATCCTTCTTTGCATACTTTTCAGCTTTTGTTTAATTTTCTTTGTCAGTATTCTATCCATGTGTCATAGTAGGTAATATGCCCTTATCTATGAACACTTTCACGTTGCTTTTCATAATACAAAAGCACTCCAACTTGCTGTCACTTCTGTTTCATAATTTGGTTTCAGAATTTTAACCAGTCCACCTTCAAATATTACATAGTTAAACATTCTTTGATGTGCTTTCCAATTGTGGCCCTCCAAAATGTATTTTTATTTGTTTCACGAACTTGTTGTGCATTGCTTTTGTTTTGCTAATATTTATTTTGAGCCGAAGGTTATATCTTTCTTTCTTAGGTTTACCATTAAATTCCCGTAACATAGTTTTTTATTGTTTGTTATCATTAAAAAATGGATTGTTACTTTTTTCATATATGTTCATGCCTTTATCTAACCCAACATACTTTCTTCATGCAATCTCAGTCGAGCTAGCTGTTCCATCCTTGTAAATGGGTTTTCTCATTTTGAAAGATCTTTTTAATTTTGACCTGCCAATCAGATTCTGAAAAAGACTAATGCATATGAAATACCATTATGTCTTTCCACTATAGACTATAAAAAAGCTTTTCACTCCCTGGAAATTGATGCATTCATCCAAGCTCTCACAAATTGAGGCCTAAATAATAGAATACATTTAGAAAAGATTAAAACCATTTATAGAGATGGAACAGTTACACTGAGATTGCATGAAGTAACAAAATACATATACCCATAACAAGTCTAAATTCTTGTGCAACGCACTGTTTATTGGGTCTCGTTATCAACTGCAGTATTTTGTAAATCGAAGAGACATGTACAAAAACAATGGGGGGGGGGGGGGTGGGATACTAATCCTGCTGTCCTTTCTGCTTACAGATGTTAAAGTTCCAAGGACACTCTTCAAAAGGCCATTACCGCGTGGCAGTGTCATGGCCAGCTCTCGTTTGTGTTTAAAGCGCAGTGTGCTGCATTTAAATTGGGTAATTCCACAAGGAGACCGCTATCTGACAACAATGTTCTGCCTCCAATTTAATGGGCTGTGTCCACTACGGATTGGCACAAGCCACCCAGGTGACACAACAGCAAAGGTGTCCCGCAAAATGAAAGGGAGCACAATACTGAATGATATTTTGTGGAAATCAGTTTCTATGTAATGTTTGTAGCTTCTTTTAATTGACAGCATGGGACTTTTTATGCGAGCCACTGGATCTTTGTGGGGGGTAGGGGCTTTATGTTTAAATATATTCTGTTGTCCCATGTATAATTTCATTCACTGGACACTCACAAATCACCTGACACTCACCTAATACTTGCTCAGAAGCCGCCAATCACTTACCGCTGACTGAATACTCACCATTCGCGATTTAAAATCACGACTCACCGGACACCGATTCTCGCCACTCAATTTGCACCACACACACAGTGGCGGCAGACCAACACCACCATCGTTAATATTATAATATATACTGCAAATGTCTATTTGAGGCAGGAGTTGTCTTCTAATCTGTTGTGTTTTTTTATATTTAAGTTCCGAGGCAAGACCCTCTGATGTTATTGTACTCACATAATGAAATGCATCAATTATCATTACAATAATTAAACGCCACTGTAATCTCATTTAATCCGTTTCATAACTATTCTTAGGTTTTTTCGGTAAAGTCACGTAGGTAAAAACATTAAAAAGTAAAATAAAATAAAAATCACGACGTTTCGGAGGCAACACAAGCTTCCGTCTTCAGGTGGTCCGGTCACAGCCACGACAGCTGTATCAAGTAAATGAGAGATTGCAGGAGCTACCACTCCGTTTATATAATGGTTGGAGAAGGTTCCACCAGTATCATATAACAACAAATAACCCTAATTCCAGATTTATTTTTTCATGTCATGTACGTATTTATGGTGATCTTCTTTTGCACCATACGTAGCCAATCCTGCTAATTGGAGGTGCGGGGGAAGGACAACAAACCATGTTTACTCAACAAAGGAACATCTGCACACGTCTTTTTTGTGACCAGTAAACTGGATGTAACGGACACAATGTGGTTCAGCTCAAACATTGCGTTATGATGATTCAATAGTGTCACGACTGCTTTGAACGTGAAGTCCTTTTGCAGACAATTGTCCTCAAGAGATGTTTACATTACCTTTTGCCTGACCAATGGTACACCGAGGCATCGATCCATTTGTACCTCTAGAATCATGACATCGTCAAGTTTTTCACTTGTCCCGGAGTCAAGACCAATGTTCAAATTATGTTTATTGTTTTTTTAATGAACAATGTCACGTGAATATAAACGGCATACCTAGTCACAATGTGGGTAATTAAATGAGTAAATGGGGAGTGTCCACATTTAGTTCATAGTCCATGAATGGCATGAACGGAATTTCCTGTGATGCATCTCCACAAATGTTTGCACAGTGAAGAAACACGTTTGCTTTACTACTGAACGTCATTAGTTGATTGTAATATATTGATATATATATATACAAACTGGTAAAATTACCATGTTTGGTTCTTTCGGTAAAGTCACGTAGAAAGAAAATAAATTAAATAATAGAATACGATGTTTCGATTGCAACATAAGCATTCATCATCAGGTAAGAATGAATGAGAAAACAAACCTCGTAAACTTAGAAATATAATGCAATACAACACAGAGAGTCGGCTAGTATAACAGTCAACACCCTACCTGGTTGATTAACGTTCTTCCAAAGATTGCAAAATTTGAGAGAGAGACAAAACACAGACATGGAGAAACACAGACAGACACACAAGCAGAGAGAGACAACACAGAGACACACATAGGCACACACATTCCACGCAACTCTCTCTCTCTCTGCCCCCCCTCTCTCTATTGAAGGCCTCGACACAGAGGCGTCATTTCTCTCTGCGCCTATGTGTGTGTCTCTCTCTGTGTGTCTCTGTGTTGTCTCTCTCTGCTTATGTGTCTGTCTATGTGTCTCCGTGTCTGTGTTTCGTCTCTCTCTCAAATTTAGCAATCTTTGGAAGAACGTTAATCAACCAGATAGGGTGTTGACTGTTGTGTTAGCCGACTCTCTGTGTTGTATTGCATTATATTTCTAAGTTTACTAGGTTTGTTTTCTCATTCATTCCCACCTGATGACGATTGCTTGTGTTGCAATCGAAACATCGTATTCTATTATTTAATTTCTTTCTTTCTACGTGACTTTACCGAAAGAACCAAAGAGTAATTCCTGCAGTCACGAAAGCTCCAAATCAAGTTTGAGATAGATACGTTCGTGAAAAACGTACGAAGCCGTTGACCTATTATTTTTCCCTGACGATTGCCCGTCTCCCCAGGCAAAACTCTATGAATCCACGTTGAGGGGATCCCTCGTAGCTGTAATTCTAGTCACACTGACTCATTGAATTTTAACTGTGAGTAAAAAAAACACGCACAGGCATTCCGCGTACGCGCAATGCGGTTTATAATTACGTAACGTGTCCCTATGCAGTACTTGCGGTTTACACCGTGGAAATAGCGCGCGGCGTGACCCTTTAAACACCAGTTGTATGTTCATCTTCTTGGTTCTTTCGGTAAAGTCACGTAGAAAGGAAGTAATAAAATAAGAGAGAATTTTATTTTATTATATTATTTTATTATGTTTTTTTTACTTCCTTTCTACGTGACTTTACCGAAAGAACCAAGAAGATGAATCCCTGCAGTCACGAAAGCTTTAAATCGAAATCTTTCGGTAAAGTCATGTAGAAGGGAAATAATAAAATAATAAAAATAAAACATAATAAAATACAATTCTCACGACGTTTCGGCCACAATGCAAGCAGCCGTCCTCAGGTGAAGAACAGGTCTGTCGGAAAGACAGCGTCTGAATGAGCGTCTGAAGTGTATTCAGACGCTGTCTTTCCGAGGACGGCTGCTTGCGTTGTGGCCGAAACGTCGTGAGAATTGTATTTTATTATGTTTTATTCTTATTATTTTATTATTTCCCTTCTACGTGACTTTACCGAAAGAACCAAGAAGATGAATCCCTGCAGTCACGAAAGTTTTAAATCGATAAGTTGTCGGTTCATTATACGCGTGATCATTTTTTTATTGTTGTCTTGAAAAAAGACAAGAAACGGTCCCTTTGATTCTTCTCATGGTTGTGTTGGCAAAGGAGTTGTATTTAGAAGAACATTTGTCAGTGTTATCAAAACCTAAAAATGTCTATTTTAATGGCATGTATGAATTTTACGTAATTGATGCAATGGCATGAGTGTGCAATACAACATATTTTCTGCATGTGTTGCTTTAATGTCAGTGACAAACAAAATAAAGCGTCATCAAAGACGTTATGCAAATGTGAAACAATTCCTTCTTTCTGGGAAATCCACTTGGCCGCTCACAAAACCCCAACTCGCCCATTGTTGTTCGCCAGAAGACTCAGCGGCTTCACAAGAGGCAAGTCCAATGTCATGTTCGTGCTGTTTATTTTTCGTTTTGAATGTAGTGATGCTTTACTGCTGCAGTGTATGTTGAACCGAACTACCATTCTCTGTAATGTATTTAATCTCAGATCAATTGCAAAATGTAATATTTGGTAAACTTGCCAAGTTGTTAGTATTGCTGGAAGGTCATTTATTCAAAATAACAAAATAGTGAAAATTAATTTATGGTTCATGTCAATTAGCAATATGATGAGAGGTTATATAAGAATATTACCATATCATATGTAAAGTTCGGCAGTCTGTTGTCTAAAGTATTGTTAACTTAAAATCTTGAGTATTGTAAATGCATGCCTTATAACTTTTTTGTAGGAATATTGTTAATCTGTAATAACAGTCACCGTAATTTGCTCTTAGAAGTGTATTTATGACGTGTTATATACACTTTATGCTGCATACATAATTTTAAAGACAGGATATTATATGTCCAGAATGTCATAGTGTTATTTTGTAACCTTTAATATACAAGTCCCACTAAATGTACTGTGTGCTATGCATTTGTTATTTAATTTGATACCTGAACCATGCCTGGACACTCCATTTACCAACCCATCACTGATCAGTGTGGTGGTGAAGTATGGTCAAAACAACCCCACGACTGACGCGGCATTGGGAGGCCTTCATCGAGTAGTAGATTTATAGAGGGCTGCAAATTATAATTAATATGTATTATTTGCCATGATGATTATGATGATGTTGTATGTATTGCATTGTGCTGCTATATATTGTGATACTACTGGGTAGAATGTAAAACATGATTTCAATATCAGCCCTACTTTAATGCATACTTGTTTTAAATACATTTTGATAATCTTTGTTTTAATCTATAGTATTAAGATACAATTCATGAATACAAGTACGTATTACTGTAGATATGTATGTAAAGGTATACCCTCATAATGCAATGGTTTGTCTCCCTGGCAATGTGATGACCTGTCATTATTCAGAGTTTAAGGCATTCAAGAATTCCCCTCTTAAACATTGTGGTGAATGTAGTGCCTCTAGTGGCTATATGAGTTATATGAACCCATTGCGGTACAGTATATATATAATCCAGCACAATATACGAATAAAATAATAATGTATTGATTCGATAAAACATTTGAAAAAGCTTAAACCTATTATGCTTCACATGACAGTATAGTTCTTTTGTATGTGCTGTAATTATGAAATCACGCAGCCATTCCTACAAATCATATATCAGTACAGATATCAATCAGTGGCAAGAAATATGCAGACACATAGGTAACGTAATCTAACCTGACAGCAAGTGCCAAATGAAATTAATCAACTCTCGACGAGAGTACGATTATTATTTAATATTAAACCATTTATTACAACAGCACTGATTACACCCTGGCTCTGTGCACTCGATAAAGCGGATGCGTTCGAGGGTTACACCCTGGACGTGATCACGTAGACAAGTGGCATCATACCCTGGCTGCATGATGACATTATAAAGTACAGCACTAGCCTTGCTTGGCTCGGCTGCCATTAACATTTGTGCAGGGTGCAGATTGAAATAGAAGGTTATGCAAGCATATTTTATTGGACGTCACCTTTGCAGTTCCCATTTACAGGTCACGCTTTCTCAGGGAACAAGGAGGGCTGTGCGAAGTCACGGACAACATTCCTTATTCACTCTGTTCTGCTGCTCCTGCCGCTTGGACCGGTGAACCAGCTTCATCGCAATCAAACACGTGCGTCCAGAACACGAACACGCGCGCGGGAACGCTCTTGCCTCCTCGGGTGTTTTATTCAACTCGGGGGATGCGTGCGGGCTAGTCATTGTTGAATGATGAGCAACTATTCGGCTCGCAGTCCAGAGGTCGCCTGCTCAATTCGACCTCCCGGCGCGGCAGCTGAAACAATGCGCGCGTTTGTTCAGTCTCCCCTGCCTCTCTCGGCCAGGGCGTCAGAAGTAGAAAGGATTGACGCCACGTGAAGTCAACTAGCAATGCTGGTGCGTGACAGAGTAGGCCGATATAACCTGCAAGAATGGCCCTCTCTTTCTCTCTCGAGCTGCCTTTAAGTGAAGACCCTTCTGCCAGCCGTAGCATGAACGAACAATTGCTGAAATTTTACCTTCACCTTACTCTGTTCAAAATGCAGTGGGGCCTCGGATGTCCAAATGTGCTATTGAGTGACACTTATTTTCGTTGGTGGTCTCTGTGCCGCAGTTGACATTTCCCTTGTCGTTAAAGGGGTCAGACTCTCCGTGGGAACAATTATTTTTTTGAGATTCATACATTTTATCAATTGTCGGTGGGATGATGGGGAGAGTTGACCCCCCTGACCGGGATTTGAACTCGTAACTTTTTCATTGTGATATTGCGTAGGGGTTTTTCTTTACGGTTGTGCTGTACACGCGATGCAACACGAAGGTACATCGGACAGATTTTTTTTTATTGAGAATTGAAGAATCTCCGCATAGCTACACCAAGCTTGGTGCTTGTAAGTCAGTTGGAGGCGATTGTACGTGCACTGTCATTTTTATGTCGGTAAGTTTTTTTACGTACAAAGGTAGGTAGTTTTTTTTATGAACATCTGCATTGTTTAGACGTAGAAGCCATAGCAGGTGATAAGAACGGCGATGCCGCATGTGTTTTTTATGGCTTGAACGCTGTAAATATAAAATTAGCACACTGTGCAGGAGCAATGCTCTGCTGGAAATGTGGGTGGTAAACGGCAGAAGTGATTCACAAGTGTTCTTGACTGACGGTGAAGGAAGATCGAGGGAATTGTGGAGTGATGTGAAAATGGTGTGAGCAGGTACTGTGATGTAGCACTCCGGGCACAGGAACGATTGTTAGAACCGTGCAATAATTGAAGACTTACATTTGTTTTAAATGAAGATATAAATACAGAAACTGAAAACACTGGACATTAAAAAAAAACATAGACATGCATACACAATTGTGCCCACATTCATTATTGTTAAGCTAAATGTCCCCTTTGGGTGTCTTCATTCACACGATGATTCACTCATTGCCTATTTGAATGACATTTCACGTTGATAATGTCGAGTACTACTCGTTTATTGGCTTCACTTGTAAAAAAAAAAGGCTGCCCTATGTCGTAAGTCACGGAGGGTTTTTGACCATATTTCACAATGCTGGTGAGTTTGGGTTTGTGAATGGGGAAGGTCTAGGACTGATTCATATATCAGTCACCACTCGTGTGAACTGTGGTTGGGAATTCACCTCAGTTTCCCAAGTCCGTAGTTGTCTCCGCGCTAACCACTACACACCTGCTCCAATTTCGCTGTGTGGTGAACAATACTTTATCTTTTACGCATTATCCAGCAGAGCTAAGCCAAGTGAAATATTTGAAGATAATTCTCATACTCCCCAGATAATCTCCAACACTACTAATGATTGTTTGTCAAGGTCTAACTCTATATTTCTACGTATAATAAGATAATTGCTATTGCGAGTTTGTTTGAGTTAAAGCGATGTACTTATACATTGTTAAATGCTGCTCACATTTCCTTTTGCGGACATTGTGTATTTGTGACACGATGCTACCATCTCGGTGGCCTGGACATGATTACTAGCCAAGCCACAGCACAACGTCAGAGCCAAGTAATATCTGAACATATCCGTAGGGCTCCTTGGATCAACTCGACTTTAGAAATGAGTATTTTGTGCACTGGATGAACATTGACATGTGTGAGAAAAAGAGGCAGTTAGTGTTGCTTGCCATACAACCCTGTTGTGTCCTGTGCTTCTCACGATAGGCGGTTACAATATACCACGAAAGTTTCCTCCCGACCCATTGGCTCCCCCCCCCCCCAGTACCCTATATAAACATGTGTCTCTAAATAGTTATCTTCATACGCTACAGTAATTTTTTCTGGAGCAGTCACACCTGATGACGGATGCTTGTGTTGCTTCCGAAGCGTCGTGATTTAATCTAGTTGTTTTCTTATATTTATTTTATTTTGTTTTCACCTACGTGACTTTACCGAAAAAACCCAAAGAGTATGAATCCTTGCAGTCATGAAAACTTTCAATCTAGAATCTTCAGGGGAAAGTTGCTATAGTATTGCTATTCCTCCATTCAAGGAGCGCAGGCTTCGGTGGTTTACTTTGCAATCCATCGTATGGACATGTGGTCTATGAGGTTAAACGAGGTGATCCTCGTCTTGTACACATTCTGCACATTGCAGCTTAGCCGCATGAACAGAGTTTAACACGTGTTATGACAGAGGCAGCCAAAGTCGAGGAAATGCTCAAGGGGATGTCTGCCGAGGAGACGGAGTTGATGAAAGTTTGTGGGCAGGTGCTAGACCCAGTGGGTTCTTAACCTTGACTGCAGCCTTGCACCCCTTTGGTTCTTAATCGTAAAAAAAAATGTGGAATGTTAATAAATACATAGGTTTGATGAAACAAAGTTGATTGTACTTACGTGCCCGTGCCTAATTTAGCTTTCGATGGTTTACCTTCAAAAATAATCTGGCATGTCTCGCACCCCCAGAAAGGGCACCTCGCACCCCCAGGGTGCATGCACCCCAGGTTAAGAACCACTGTGCTAGACGGATTGCTGCATCGATGGATGTGAGAGCTCGCGATGGTTTTGAGAGGGCTTCATGCAGCAGTGAATAGACTGTAGCTGATGGTGATGTTATGCATTGCTATGTTCCACCAACAGATTCAAGAAATTGCGATGACGCTGAAGAACAGAATGGGGACATGTCTCTGCATTTTATATTTGTCTATGTCCGCCAACTGCTTAAACTACCAGTCCACAAGGATACCTAAAAACCACGGTCAGTTCATTACAAAGCACATTTCACATTCACACAAGCATCGGTTTTACATTACAGCAATGTTTTATCCAGCGCCGCGTGTTAGTAATCGGTGCAATGTGTGTCTTTCAGTGTGCAGCAAGAATAAGATATCACAAGTGGAAGCACTAGAGGGTGACGCATCAATGATAGTGTGTGACCTGTCAAATGAAATTTCTACGTCCGATGCCACCGCTGTCAGATGGCACAAGGTTTCAAATGACTCCTCAAGCCAACGGGCTTTAGCATTCGAAGAACACCGCGTTGTGGAGGATGGCCACGCCGTGTGGTTTCTACCAAGTCACAGAGATGATCAAGGGCTTTACGTCTGCCATCTGCAGTGAGTCTAAAGCCTATTGAGTCTCAGAGATCTGAAGGCCAGATATTGCACGAGACAATTACACAAACAGACACACACACACTTATTCCGAATATATTACTGTCAGTTTAAATCTGGAAAAAAAAAGTGATTTCCAAAAAATTATTTCTTTCATAATCAGTATACAGATTATATTACGTGCTTTAAGTATTATCGGCATTTTAATCGATTAACATATGAACGGAACTGTCTTCTTTGTTTCAGAAATGGAATTTACTGCATTAACTTCACAGTGGCTATTACAGAAAACCACCTTTGCTACAGTGGAAATAATCTATACAGTCTCTTTACTAAAATTGGAAAGAATAAACGCTTGTTTTGTTCACATGACAATCTTCAGTTATCAGAAAATGCAAACTTCACTTGGTACAAGGTATTAACGCAGCTCAGTTATATTTATGCATGCACTATCTATTTGTACATCATTTGTTTTTACTGCAATATAAGTTCCACAGGACTTCTGCTTCTTTCGTCGAATGGGAGTACAAACCTCCTGCTGGTAGAAACGTTATCATCGCTGCCATCACCATCACCTTGACCGGTTAGGCTGATGGCCCTTATTTGAACCACTCTGCTCTGGTTATCCATTGTTTTTGTGTCGTAACTTTGTGAATTCCCCCGACCAGTTTTGGTTTAACCCATTGTAGAACTACGTCAATACTGTGTTGGTTCTTCTGATAAGTGTATTGTTTACAAACAGATTTTACAGGTTAGGTCTGAGTACCAAAATATTTTAACTTATGCTCCATTGTTAGCAATGTAGTGAACTCATTTAACAGAATCTAGATTTGAAGTTTTCGTGACTGCAGGGATCCATACTCTTTGGTTCTTTTGGTAAAGTCACGTAGGTATGACATGCTCTTTTTAACAGAAAATCACGTAATTTTTTTGTACCATGTGACAACTTGGAGTATTTTTTGTTAAATAAAATGTTAGTTCTTTTTCAAAACTTCTACTCATGAAATAAACAAAATATCCACTTTTAATTATTCATTAATTATATTATTAAAGTCAATGCTGTAGAATCTGTAATCATTAACACTGCATCAACTCTCCGTTTAGTCCCCTTGTGAGAGTTTGGCTTTTGAGAAAGACACGGGAGAATAGGATAATCCTTCAAAAACATTAGTTATCCTTGCACTTTTGTGGCAAAAAAATTACATTTAGAAAGAATCTTAATGGTTTCATCATCACCATTGGAACCTCATTTGCCAGTAGAAATATGATAATTGGTTTTTTACCCTTCTATCTGGCAACAAAACTGACACCTTTTTACAATGAGTCATGTTTGCATAGACCACAATACCTGCAATCATAATGCAAACAAAAAACATAACTCGGATAATGTACACTGTCCTTGAAGTTGATTGGTCCACACCCGAGACAGCTTTCCTTAGAGCCTAGTCTCATATGGGTTGGACCAGATGACGCCAAAAGGCGCCTTTTGTGCACATTATCAGAGTTATGTTTTTTGTTTGCATTATGACTGCAGGTATTGTGGTCTATGCAAACATGACTCCTTGTAAAAACGGTTTCATCATCATCATAATCAGCCATGCATGACCTTTCTACTGCTGGACTAATGTCTCGCCAAGCCATTGTCCCCTCTCATGGCCTTGCGATGCAACGATCCATCTAGCCCCTGCACACAAGTTGATTTCATCGCTCCATGTCCTCAGTAAATGTACTTATCGGGTGCTCACCCACCTTTGGCTGCCACTCTGTTGGTAGTCTCGACCACCGGCCATTATTCCTTCTAGCGGTGTGTCCATATAGTCTACTCTGATGCGCCTTGCAGTTGTATACTTAAAAGGGAGATTTAAAAAAACCGATGTAACTAATTTTACTAATACATGTCTCATGAATATACAATATATCTCACATGTGAGTTGTTTGTTATTGTTAAGAGTAATGGCTTTGTGCGCTCTCACGTTTTCAACAATACATTGCAGGAGTTAATGTAAGGATCAATGGTATTTCATTGATATTTGTTGAGTGCCAAGCGCCATATCAATGTATGTATTTAATGTAAAATGCCAATTAAAAAGTTTTCCTGTTGCTTATTTGTTGCAGAATTGTAGTGCCATAGATGCGAGGGCAGAGCAGAACAGAGGGAATGAATTGACGATCCACAACGTGACTGTAAAAGATGCGGGGAAATACACATGTGAAGTGCACTTCCACAAGTTTGGCAGAGATCATAAAGCAAGCAAAACATTTAGCCTGCAAGTGACAGGTAATTAACCAGTTTGGAACGAAACTGATGCATGCCTATTTAATGATTAGAAAAAAACGGAGAGCTAAGTTTGACACTTTTTTTCTTCTTCTTTAATATTGCTTTGGCAACACGTAGTATTTCAAACTAATTTGAAGTATATTTTCACGTGTAGAAATTGTGATGGGAAAAAAGCCTGAAATTCTTCAACCTCGAAAGAATAATTCCAGAAACGTTTCTCTTGGTAAGTACACGTGTGAGTCACTCGTAAAAATGTTAATCAGTAATCGGATTCAACTAACACTTGCATTTAATACTACTGACAATGTTCCTATAGTGCAGCGGTCGGGAACCTATGGCTCGCGAGCCATATATGGCTCTTCCGGTGACGGCATATGGCTCCCAGACAATTTTGAGTTGAAAAAAATAAAAAATAAAAAAATAAAATCAGTTTGGAACTGATTTTAAAATACTTGTGATATTGCTTAATAATACTGTGTCATTTTAAAGTAAACAGAAATTCGTTTTGAAGATAAAATTTCTCGGGTCACGGGTCCCGTGACCAGAAGTCGCATTAAAAGTAAGACATATTTAATTTATTATACGTTAAAAATAATATATGGCTCTCAATGAAATATATTTAGAAATATTTGGCTTTTATGGCTCTCCCAGTCAAGAAGGTTCCCGACCCCTGCTATAGTGTGAAACTGTAACCAATCGAAATGGAGAAGCAATATCAGTTGGGAGAAATAGAAAATCATCCAAGAAAACATAGAAAATCACAATTTGTAATATTCATTTATTCATAATTTCACGTAACGTATATATTATCTAATGTAACCTTTTTCAAAGCTTGTTTGTTTGCATGTTCACCACAAGTAATGTGTGGTTAATGCAGCTTTGATTCCTTGCAAAAGGTTTCTATTTGGTGTTTGAACATCTCAACACCGCCTGTTTCATTCCCAGAAAGGGTTAAACCTATTTCCTAGTTTTTAATAACGTATATTATCATTTTCGTGCTCAAAATGTCCCTCAATGTTCTTTCCTTCATAATCCTCAGTTCCTATCTTTTCTCAAGAAGCTAACATCTGACGAAAAAATAAAAATAAAGAGCAAGTCTTTTTTGTGTTGGGCGAAATGAGAAATGTGTGAATTAAAAAAGGCATTGCATTCATTGTATACTATATTCTACTTTGCCTGGGTAGGTCACTAGAAGGAACAACAATCGATAAGTAAAACTTTCATGGGACAGCATTAACAAGAAGGAACGTATCGCAGGGTAATCCCAACGTGTGGTTTCTTCAGTGAATTCAACGAATACGCAGCACATCTGAACATCCACATGACCATGGGTGATCATGTAAACATTGAGAAGCAATCATCCAGCAGTAGATTGAGCATGCATTTTGTTGATTATGATTGTAGATTGTGGTGAGTAGGATTGCCAAGATATGGTGATTCTACGATGTATTGTACGATAATCGTATCACCCATTCTGCAAATTCGTTTTTATATCGTGATTATCATTGCAAAATAAATATTTTCCTGATTAACTATTTATGAAATAACAAATTCATAAATAAATTAAACTTCTATGCTTTACGAAATACATTCTGGAGTAAGTGGTGGCATGGTAGTAATATGACGTCATATTTTTTGTATTCTGTTAATTATTTTGTAAATTATTGTGAATTATAAGACTCATGGCAAGACTCATGTTGACTGAAATGCAGCTGAATAACTTTTAAGACATCTTTATTCATACTAGACTTACAGCAAAGCACAAACACGATACAAAAATAATTAGATCTACAATTACAAAGACACCGGAAACTGATATTGTGGTAAGCATCATATAATTTAAACTAATATCGTGTTGGGAAAAACATATATCGTGAAAATCCTATTGGTGAGGAAGATGAAGCATCTGAATATCACTTTCTAGCACTGTAACAAACCTTTGGGGAGAGCTAATGCTGTTTGAAACACAGGGATGCATTGTTATGCAGACACTTAAATATATAGGTCAGGACTACCTGTGGAGTTTTCACGGAAACGTGATGATATTGTATTTTGCTAATGGACTCTTGTAGGTGTTTGTAAATGGACTGCATTTGAATGGCGCACTCTGAAAATGAAGCGCATAACTGCACGTGGGTCTCAATCACAGAGTGGATGGGAATGTAAATTCTGATTAGGAATGATTTGTATTGGATTGGCTTTTTGTGGAATTGAAATATCAGGTCTTATATTTGCAATTGCAGAAAGGCTTTGCACTGGCAATAGAAGGCATTATTAGGAAAGAAAATATAAAATGAAATTTGTAACCCAGAATATTTCTATTATACCACCATCTCGCAACCTAAAATCCCTCTACCCAAGACAGACAAAAACAGCATCACCTGTGTAGCTCTACATAATTTTGGGGAAAAATATGTTAGCGAGGGTGTAGTGTGATTCGCACAGCAACCAAGAACATTTGTTTTGCTAGTGCTGATATTCACACACGTCACCAGGTATTTGTTTATTTAGTTATTTTCAGCTGGTGGTCTGGATGAGGCTCAGAGTTTATATAAAGGAGGGCAGGACAGATTCTGATTTCACTTGTTAACCACTGTACCACTATTCCCTACCACCATCACCATAAATGTCATCCACCTCATCAACATGCAGAGCATCGCATGAGTAATCTCACAGATTGTAGTAAAATCTTATACGAAGATAAAGACATTTAAATGCTGTAAAAATAATAGTATTAATAACGTCCTTTGTTTATTCAGGAAAACTTCAATAAGATCACTTCTATTTATCATAATTTTTTTCAAACATAGCTCATACTGTATGCGTTTTTTTTTATAATATTGTATTACATTTATGTGTGTATATATTTATACAGTGCTGTATTTCTGATCATTCATTGTCTATTGCAGGTCAGGCACTAAACATAACTTGCAAGGTTATGTACAACCTTGGCCACGATTTATATCCTCTGGTGTGGTGGACATCCAATGGAATTTTCATTGAGGACAATCAAGAAGAAAACGGCCTAATTGAGAGCAGTTACAGGTACAATTTGCTTCTTATATTTGTGTCGTGATAACAACTTTTTATTAACACCGCATGACTTTCCGTGTAAGTATTGTGCATTCAAACTCTGGCGCTATCTCACGTGTGCCTGAGATACACCATGTGCCACACAGTACCCGCCGTGGCATGCAGTAATTGTTGAGCACCACACACCGTAATGCTTACATAAGGTGCTTGAATCCTGAACTCAAGAACATGTGACAAACATCTTGATAATTGATGTCCAGGGAAACACTACTAATTAAAAAAAAACATTTATCTTGTTGTTTTCAACAGTCATACTTTCATCTTGTGTTTCTGATTCATTTATGCATTACATCCTTCTTATTCATAAATGCTAAAAGTAATTGGTGTGCAAGGCTCTTGCTAGATTTGCTCCTCACCATGATCATCAGCTCGAACGAAGGTCTCCCCAATTCATTGCCATCCCTCACAGTCTCACGATCCCAGTCCATCTCGCTCCTGCACGTGTGCTGAGCTCATCACTGTGTCTCTCACATCATAGCTCTTCCTCTTAGGTGTATTTTGTCCTTGGCGCTGCCATTCCATTGTCAGTCTCGACCATCATCCATCATTCCTTCCAGCGATGTAGTCTCCCCAAATCCACGTACTTTTTTAAATGTTGTATTTGTTGACTGAGCTGCGTGTTCCTCTTCTGTCTCTGATTGTAACTGAAAACACTCTTGTTAATTTTCATAGTTTTCAGCTTTACTTTCACTTTGCCAGCGTCAATGTTTCCAATATATATGTCATAGTGGGTGAAAAGTGTTGTGTGAACCCTTTCTTCTTCGGGCACATTGGGATGATTCCAGATCACTGAAGGCACAAAACAGGAAAAAAACTGCGGTTGTAGGCTTTATCTCTGTCAACCAAAAAAAAGCCGAAGTCATTTGTTGCTCAAATGAGCATTATCTTTGTGGTGCAGTGTTGTCTCTGTGTTTTTGTGGTGTGGTCATGTCCTTGTGTGTATGTGCTTTTGCGCACATGTGGCATATATCGAAACCTATAACATGTGCGCACAATATGTGTATGCATTAATACGGTCGTGAATTCATACGCTCAAGTATGTGTATGGGTCTGTTAAAATCATGAGTTCGCTTTTAAGTAAATTGGTGATCCATTACGTACACTAGGTGGCTGTTTTTGATAAATGAAAATAATGTACGTAAAAGCATTTTCTAAACCTCTCAGGAAATACATTTTCTCTCAGCCATTTTTCTAAGAATAAATCAGGAGTTTAACAAGATGAGTGGGAGGGTCAAAGGTGATTTGTAGAAGGGACATACCACGTAGATTCATACAAAAACATGCTAGGATTATAAAAGCCATTTGCAGAACACGCACATAGACATGAAAAGACATGAGAACACTTTAATAATTTCAGTTCACTGAGAATGTATATAATTTAGAAACACCAGAAATGGGTGAGTTTAAATAATGAGGCAGGTGCATTTGCCATGACGATTCTTAGATAGATGGTGGGCATTTTCAAAATTTAGTTCAAATTTGTCAGCGTTGTGGGCAGTGTTTTTCATTAAAATGGCTTTCAGGAAACATCATAAAAGCATTTACCGGGAAGTGGACTTTCTTGATGCCACATTAATTACAGGTTTATTTCGAGATTAATTTAGATCCTTAATGTGTGGTATACAGAATACCCTGTGAGTACACACAATGCATACAGATTTCTCTTTGTGAAGACGAGATGCCATGGTATACCTTGCAATATTAAATAACTTGCTGTGCAAGGTTGCACATTTTGAAGGTATATACAGTCAGTATTTTAATTACAGTACTTTGTTTTAGCAGATGTATGATAATACCAGCACTTATTAAAAACAAAAACTACCACTGGTTGGGTTGTAGTCCTTGTCCACTGATTCTAAATGACCTCTGGACACACATATCCAACATTTGTATGCATTAATAATGATTTTGCCATGGTTTAATGAGTACCACACTGGACTTGCAATCTAGAAGTTGCTGGTTCGATCTCCCGACTTGGCAGTACAAATAATGGGCGAGTTCCTGTACACCCAACAGTATCAATGGGTGCACCACAGTTAGGGGATTGGCAAGTCACACGTGGCGGGGTAAAGTGTGAGTACTCCCCCACCTTTTCTAAGATGTCTGGCTATCATGGATTATTTGGCCAAAATTCCCTCTCCAGGGGTTTCGTAGAGCTCCCTCTTGTGGAGACACTTTCTGCAGCAGTGGTGTGAGCAGGGACATGCATAGTTAGCGACTCTAATTTTAAAGTTGTCATTATTCAAGGTGCATTTTCACACCGTTTCACGTTTACTGTACATACTGGTACAAATGCACGATTTATGTGAAAACGAAATTATGGGGTTCGCAAGAAGCCATTGTGGGACTTTACCAAATGCCAAGGCCAACATTAGCACACCGTGCACATTACGCAGTTGAAGTGACACCTGCAAAATCGGAACTGCAATTGCTTCAGAACATTACCTCGTCTTCAATGAGAGAGAAATTACATCTCTGAAAAATGCATATCGACCTTGGTAGATGTAGCGGATTTCATTGGATAGATTTGAAATAATTGCTTTCACCTCTCCCATCACAATGTTTCCATATTGTCTTGCATGTGTTTGTAAGCATGTATGTGTTATGATTATTCATGCATATGAATACATAAAAACGTAAAGATAGTAACATTGGGGTGCCACATTGGCGAGATGTTAACTACCTCGCCTAGTATACTGGAAGATTGGGGGTTCAATCCCGACCCTGACGCCTGTATATTGGGACTTTGCATGTTCTCCCCGTTGTCAAGTCGATTTTTCTCCGGGTTTCCCCTCCACATTTACAAACATGCGTTTCGAGTATTTGGCTGCTGTACATTTCCACGTGATGAGCCACATTGTTGAGCTATCATTTGCGGCCAGCTCGCTCCTGAAAAATAGTTGTATAGCTCAGTGGGCTTTACCTGCTAAAATAAAAACAGTGTAGTATAATAATAGTTTTTTCCCATTTTTTTGGCAACTAAACAGGTGTTAAGATTCTCTTTGGTTCTTTCGGTAAAGTCACGTAGGTATGGATTCCTACAGTCAAGAAAGCTTCAAATCAAGGTGTTAAGATGTTAAAACACCAAACTGAAACCTTTTACAAAGAATCATGTTTGCATTAACCACAATGATTGTGGTCAGAATGCAAACAAAAACATACTCTGATAATATATGCATTGTACTTGAAACTGATTGGTCCACACCAGAGACAGCTTTCTTTTGAGCCTAGTCTCAAACGGTGTTAGCCATGGCCTGGTATCAAACGTAGAAGTATTTATGTTTTAATTACAACATATACAGTATTCCAGATTTCAAATACAGTTCTATGTCAGGTGTATATATGGCAGAAGCATTGCATAAAAATTTGGAAGGGATTGGGTTGACTTTACATCTTACAATATTGTATTTATAAAATATTAAAACACAAAGTGTTTTTTTCCCAATTACACGTCTCTCTCGAGAGAGAAATGTGGGAGGCTAAGGGGCTATTGCAACAACCACAAACACCCTGGAGTATTTGTAGAAAAGCATATAAATCTATAATGTGTATATAAGCACACACACACACAAGGACACTCCAATCTAGCATATCCGTGCTCTCAGTGTGCATCATGCCCTAATGGGCATTCCAAGCCAATACAGCGGCTGCACATAAAAACGAAGATGTAGATATTAAATGGCATGTGTCTTTGTTATCCTTTGCCTCGTGGCCATTTGCTTTATACCAAATTGTCTTGCCACGTAGAAGACCCCTGTGGGATGCAGAGCTGTATTTGTGGGGCCCATTTCTGTAGAGATGTGCTTGGTGCAATACTTTGCTTGTGGCTATCTCAAGGAATAAAGTAGAGATTGCATTCAGAAGCACCCTTTTTACATCAGGCTACCTTATATATATCATCCTAACATTATTTGTTTTCAATTACAGAATATTAATTATCCACAATCGTTACTTTACCAGTGGTCAATATCTATAAAGTATGTCCCATGCAATGCAAATCTGTATTTCCACCGCTGCAATTACAATTGTCTCCTTCTTGTGTCATTGCCACACCCACCAAATCCATACAGATTGAATTTATTATCATCTCAACACCAGGGGCGGTTTTTTCATTAGGGCGATTGGGCGACGCACCACCAATGTCATTCAACCACAGTCACGCTAGCCGTCACTGTCAGCCTCTGGATATAGTCCAATCAGCGTCATGTCACGTTCTGTGGAGTACCGCCTCTTTTGGGGCGATTTCACTCCGGCTGAGAATCGCCCCGAGTGGCCCCATAGACTTACATTGAAAGATGTTTTTTTTCGAACGGGGGCGCTCCAGTGCATTCTCTATGGCTTCTGGGAGGGCAAGCCCCAACGTGCTTACGTCATCATACGTGCTAACGTCATCATACGTAAGCACGTTTCATCCAACAATATAATTTATCGCCACCTAGTGGAATCTTTAATAAAATAAACTTGAGTGGTTTGTTTTAATAGTGAGTATAGAAACAAACAAGATGTATTGTAAGAGTCACTTTATTTTTCATTAATATTAAAGAAGTGAAGTTGCCTTTACATGCTTAAGCTGTTAATTTATCCATTGCATGGGTGGACCTTATCCTTATCAATCATCCAGACATTTGCCCCCCCTGAGAGATTTTGGAGGAGCCGCCACTGCTCAACACTCACACAGATCAAACATTACCGTGCCCACATTTAGGGCAGTGAGTAGGCCTTCAATAATTGTTCCTCTTTGGGGTAGTGTTATTGACGAATGTGAGTTTTTGTTATTTGCGCTTACGCACTGCCAATGATGCAGTGGTCACATTGTTTTTGTTAACTATATCAATGCGTTTACATATGTACATGTTTTGAGATTTTAGCGCATTTTCAAGGGTACACTTTGACTTTATGAAGCGTTGCTATAAGTTTAACTATTTGTTGGGAGGTTTCAGACGTAGCATATACTGTTGGCGATTCCCCAAATTGTTCATTTACACACGTTCAAATACACAACCACAGGGTTCTATTTGCAAATATTCACAGGATTACCAATTTCTACATTGTGCATAATACAGGTTTTTGGGTTAGACCACCACCCGACACAGCCAATTAGTAAGGTTTGTCACGTAAACAGAACATGCCAATTCGTTACAAGTACAGCACACCGATGTGTTGGAGAGCGAATCCACAACATTTAAAAATCTATATTGTGGCATTAAAAAAAGGATGTTTTTACCAAACTGATGAAATGTCACTCGAATTGCATCTTGTTTTAAGTCACAAATACAAAGCTTCACAAATCAGGATCCTTTTCCCATTTCTTCTTTTTACTCGAAAAAATACCACAAAAATCCCCAAGCATGTACCCCCACATACACCCGACTCCTGAGTCATAGAGCAGGCTGTATTGCACAGCTTCCTCCGTTGTTAGCTTTGTCTACTTTACAAAGTTATAGTACATACAAATTTTAACATCGCATTGATTTGCATTGTACTCTGGTAATGTCGAAGATGAAGACACAACGATAATACACAGGCAAAACAAACGTTGGTGTTCATTTATTGTTTTTTTTTGGCAAATTACATGATGGGTAAGGAAAATGTCACGAGATAAAAACTAATTCTGCAATTTTGTTCTGTTTTGTACTGTGCGTACAGGAATGTGTCCTCCAATGAGACGTGTTCTGTCATTGAAAGGACATTGACAATCAGCAAAGTACAGCCCAACCATCTTGGCTACATCTTTACTTGCTTTGCACAGAATGGAGTTGGGATGAATTCTGCAAGCGTACGCTTACAGCAACAATGTGAGTGTGAATTTAAATGTATTATTTCAGAAAGGATGCTCGTTTGGTAATTGCGTACACACGTTGCTGTAAGTTCGGATGCTTATTGCTGTAGAAGCAAGGTGAATGGGCTTCCTAAACTAAGCAGGAAATAGGTGGTCTTCAAGACAATAATTAAATTCATTCCGGAGCTTTTCCTGGATCTAATATTCATTTGTGGTGTCATCCACCCGAACTCATTCAAACATTCCCATCTCAAATTACACCCAAAACAAAGACTTAATAAGATTTGCATGACTTTCATTAATCATAAAATGAGCATGAGCAAGACTTGGATAATGCAATTTAAAGGAATATTAGATTATTTATTAAATTTAAAAGAGATATCGTACTTTCGTTATTGTAATTTGTTTTTAATACTTTGTCTATAGTGTGCACGACTTTGTCATGCACAACCATGAGTGCCACACCAGGTGGACTGAGTGTTGTGGGTTTTTGTGCAGCCATAGTTATGCTTTTAGAGAAAATGTTAACAACACTTACACATGTGTGAGTATTTGTTGCGTGGGAGAGTTTTTAATTAATACTGTAGCACTGGTGGTTGTTCTTGAAATGAATGTTTTTTTGGCATCAACCAGAAATTCAACTTTTGAAGTGGATATATTGTAAGTTATCAAAGCTTTCAGAATGGAATAAAACGGGAAAAAAACTACTTGCCTTTTACTTGCTTCATAAAAAGTTCATTATTTTTTGGAACCACTTTTCCTCTCACCTTGCTGTAAAAGCTGAGTTATTAGTTCTGCTTTTCTTGCTCTTTCGCCTCAATGTTTGGCTACAATTCAGAAAAAAAGCAGCAGTCGAACTCGTAGAGAGTTTTTTACCAAGTTGTTCGAGGTCGTTGTCATGTCTATGGGTGGTTGATTCATATAGCATTATCTTTTGAGTGTTCTAGACACATGTTGAGGCCATTGAATTAGGGACCTCTTTATGTTGAGATAGAATAGCTTGACATGCAGTGAATCTCAAATCACTCAATGTCTGACCTTGTGAAACCTTGTCAGCCCAGTCACCATTCTCGTTGCTTGTACTAGAAATCTCACTTAGTCTTATTCCGCAGTGTTTAACAACCATAGGACAACGTTAATATGCAGGTGTTGTAATGATAGCTCTCATGAGACAGCACTGACTGCACCAATCTGTTTAAATTCAATATTCGCATCCAATTGTCCCTCTTTTTTTGAGTAAAACCCTGAGATACTTGAACTTTGCTGCGTAATTCAGGGGAACTCAACTAACGTGCAGAGTGCTCTGGATGGCGCATCTTGGGAACACCATGACTTGGTCTCACAACATTAATTTGCGAATTCTTCTCGTGGTAGAAGCCAAAATAGCCAAGTCACATGCAAACCGCAGGACGACGCGATTCTGGGCACTCTTTATCTCGGTTGCATTTTTGAATATTGTGCATTTAAATAATGAAAAGGTGAGGTGATGAGATGCATCCTTGTCTAGGTCCAACGACCACAGTGAAGATATTTCACTGAACACCTTGAAAATGTGTTGGAGTTTTGTACAGGAACAATAGCTAACCATTCACTCCATACCCTTATAGACCCTGCCAGATATCGACGCGGAACCAATGTTAAACGCTTGTTTTACGTCCACCGAATAAATGTAGACATGGTTTGCATACTCCGGCAATTCATCGTAAACTTAATGGAGGGTGAATAGTTGGTTGGATGTGTCTTGAATTACTCTAAAATTGCTCTGCCCTTCGTAACGAATTCCCTATTAATATCAGGGGAAACGTTTTGATGTTCTCTGTTGAGAGCTATAACCACCTCACCCAAGAATGTTGTATACTCCTACTCAACACTTAGTACATAGACCTTTATAGTGATCAGCAATTTACGGCAATCAAGACCTACCCCAAATAACTGCTACTCCCTTGATGACGGGCTTCCATCCACCCATTCTCTCAGCCAACACCAGCAGAGAAGAACTCCCACTCTTCTATACCGACTGGTCTGATATCGCATCTCCAAGTAGTAGAGACTGATTATATCTAGAGAGTACATTTCATCCTCATCTCTAAGACCCCATTTAGTCATGAAGTTGTTCGAGTGGTCAATTTTCGGATGCCATAGCTGCTGTCAGATCTGTGTTGGCTTACGTCAATTTCCTTGCTGGCAGCCACTACGAGTGACAAAATCATGGCCGGTGAAGTTTCTTGTCGTAGCTCTTTTGGGTCGAAGCCAGCCAATATCCAAGAAAGCAGAGAGCCACAAGACATCGGCATATCACTACCAAGTTACTATTGAATGTATGGTAGTAATATAGTATAATTTTGCAAGGAATCATGTCTGCATTAACCACATATACTTGTGGTGAACATGCAAACAAAATGATAATGCAACTCAATGGGAAGTTCAGACATTTCTGCTTGGATCTTGCTGTCCACTCCTTGAGGGTGTTCGTCATACGGACGCCCGGATGGCGACCCACTGCCATTCAAGTCGCAGTGTCAGGGCTAAGCACTGGGCACGAGCGCCGTTGTGTAGGACGCAGAATGGAGATGGCGATTTTGTGTTGAAGCGAAATTGAGAGAGCGTTAATTCTAGACTTGAAGCTTTCGTGACTGCAAGGAATCATATTCTTAGGTGTTATCGGTAAAGTCACGTAGGTAAAACATCAAAATTAATAAAAATAATAAAATAAAATAAATATCACGACGTTTCGGAGGCAACACAAGTCTCCGTCATCAGGTGGGACAGTCACAGCCAGATCAGCTGTGTGTCGCTTGCGCACAATAGCTTCCACGCCGTCGCCCAACCTTTTTTTGGCCCCTCTCTCCCGATACTTTCCATTCATTGGCTACCACATTCTGATAAGCCCCCCCTCTCCTCCCCCCTCAACTCGCTTTTAAGGGATTACATCTTGAATCATTGCCTCACTTGATGCAGCTGATCTGGCTGTGACTGTTCCACCTGATGACGGAGACTTGTGTTGCCTCCGAAACGTCGTGATCTTTATTTTATTTTATTATTTTTTATTAAATTTGATGTTTTGCCTACGTGACTTTACCGAAAACACCTAAGAATATGAGAGAGCGTTCACAAGCACTAAACGAAAGAGCGACTCGGCTTCTTTTCGTAGAGCAACAATGGTGGAAGTCATCTAGAATTAGTTAAACAAAGAGGGGGGTGTTAATTTCAGACCCAGGAACGCAACCGTAGTTTTACCATGACAGGATAATATTTGTCGAATACTGTTTTTCTTCCAACACGGCATTTTTCAAGAATCCAATCCCCGTGTTCGGTGAGGTCTGTCTGTTACATTATTATCAACGTAATCGAACAACTTCAAGGTCTTTATTCAGCGGTAGATTGACCAAGGCTGATAATGGTGATGCTAATAATCAAAGGTCAATAGGCCATTACTAATCTGGAAAAAAAATCGTAGGTTTCATGCACAAAGCCATAGCCAGGCTAATTCGTTTGCATGTGCTGGAACAACTAATTTTATCATGTAACTCAGTGTTGATATGGAGATGTGATTGGAAACGTATTTCTTCAAATCTGCTATTGCAGTGCCAAACGCACTAATAAACGTATCATCCAGTTGCATACATTTTAATAAAATATGTAATAAGTGCATATTTTGACAGAAGTCACAAGTAAATACAGTAAAACCCTTGCAAAGTATTCCTGCTTGTGATTATACTTGTTCTCGAGTATATAGGAAAACAAATTCAATGATGTTGGTTTACTTCCTCAGAATTTCAACACTGGTTATGTGTATTTTAGAAGTGATCTGATGCATTTTATTCAAGTAAATGCATTGCATTTGAAAACATCTTCTAAATGCGATGTTTATGGCATGGTGGCCTGTGTTCATGGGCATAAGTATTGCAGCTGTATACTTCCGCTGGCATCGGGAGTGCTTTTAACATTTAGGTCAGTGGAAACTAGTGTATCTTCTTGGTTCTTTCGGTAAAGTCACGTAGAAGGGAAGTAATAAAATAATAAAAATAAAACATAATAAAAATAAAATAATTCTCACGACGTTTCAGCCACAACGCAAGCAGCCGTCCTCAGGTGAAACCAGGTCTGTCGAGGTGACAGCGTTTGAAACGCTGTCACCTGAGGACGGCTGCTTGCGTTGTGGCCGAAACGTCGTGAGAATTATTTATTTTTATTATGTTTTATTTTTATTATTTTATTACTTCCCTTCTACGTGACTTTACCGAAAGAACCAAGAAGATGAATCCCTGCAGTCACGAAAGCTTTAAATCGAAATGAAACTAGTGTAGTTTAGTAGTTAGAATGCGCAGATGCCACTGGTAAAAAAACGCCCATCATTTAAGGAACATCTCCTAAGAGATAGTGGTCAATCTCTTTTCTGGGAAGAGACCAAGAGTGCAAGAGGGTTCAGAACTAAGCGTAAAGTGGGAAGATGAGGGAGGATAAGCATTTAGACCTTGGCACACTTTTTTGCCGAGATATTAGCAGGGGGAGCTTGCCTGTCTGTGTCATAATCTTATCATATATTCAGGACTTTATCAACACATCAGCATTCAAGCGTGGACTGAGGTAACACGCTTGTAGGTATATGGAATTTCAATGTGACCGTTTTTTTTCGCTTGCGAAATCAAGACCACTTACGTGGCATGCTACCTGCCTTCCGTCAATTTGCAATAAATACCGCACGATGTCCGTGCGCAATGAAAGATAGCTCTTACTCAGGATATACTGTCGTTTGAGAAGGAATGGCATCAAGTTGTGATAGTGAATTTGACGCGCTGGTATTCCAATGTGTTCACTTTATTTTGAAATGTACAGTGTAGAGAGTATGGATCCAATGAGTCATGAGCAATTGCAAGAAAAAAACATTTCAGTGGAAGGGAAGATTGGGGGTAGAGATTAGGTTAAAGAGAGTTGAAGGGGGGGGGGGTAGTAACAATGCGCATTACAATATTCGTAGCCTAATTAAAGACGTGACACCAAATGCAATCCAAGCGAGGCATATTTGAGCCTTTTCCATTTTAGAATTGAGCCGATTTTCGTCGGAACTCATCATCTTTCATCCGTCACATCGTGAACTCACATGCTGTTCAACTCACGCTCAAAAGTCAAAGCAGTGCAACGTCTCCTCGGTACGTCCATACCAGAGTACGGCACGTGTTGCCATGGTAAGGACCTATAGACCCCTTTAACATGGTGATTGATGTGTACAACCTATAACCCGCTGCTGATTTGCGATGAATGCTGCCGTTTGAAGATATTGTGCTGAAATGCATAACAATTTCACCCATTTGACTGCAAGCTCACACCGTCTGCTCGCCTGTTTTCTCAGGTTCAAGCACTGGCGTCAGATCCAATGCATCAAAAAAGGGCCTTTACAGAATTCTTTTTTTTGTGCTGCCCTTCTTCATACTCTTATTATAAAACTAAATTGTATTTTTAGCAGAATGTTTCGGCTATCTTTGCACTCCTTTCCCCTATGTAATTTGAGCACGTAACATACAGAAACATGATTCATATACAGTGTATATATTTTTATTTTTCGATTTAAAGCTTTCGTGACTGCAGGGATTCATCTTCTTGGTTCTTTCGGTAAAGTCACGTAGAAGGGAAGTAATAAAATAATAAAACATAATAAAATAAAATAATTCTCACGACGTTTCGGCTACAACGCAAGCAGCCGTCTTCAGGTGAAGAATGAGACACTGCCAAGCTAGGAGCTTATATATAAGCTGCATTGGAGATGGAAGAAGAGCGCCTTAACAAGTGTATATATTGTTTTAAAAAATATAAATAATTACGTTTTGTGGTGTTAAATGTGAAGCATGCGTACCATATGCTCGCTGTTGATTGCAGACAGCCCATGTAATAAACAGTCCCTGAATATAATTAGACATGTTTTAATAAAGCGCAATGTATATTTACAAAGGGTATTCATGATTTCTGTCTTGTAACTATGCAATGTACAACTGTGAAAATGTATATATTACAATATAACAACATTTTTCATATTCATGTAATTAAATGTATAAAAAAGTGTCATTGGTAAAATTATTTGTCGTAAACCGTAACAAAAAAATTATGCAAATAAAGTGGAAAATTATTGTGGCAGCTACGAATACAGATATCTCAATCACAAAGTGTGCCCGTTCTCACTTTATCTTACATCGTCAGCCTGCAAACAACACACTGTGGCTTTTCCAAAGCTTGCTAAATGGTCGTTAATGAAAGAGGGAACAAGTAATGGGGGTTTTGTCCTATATATATATATTTATTTTTTACATAGTAGGTGCTGCGATGGTGAAACGGTTAGCCCGCTCGACTTGCAATCTCGAGGTCGCCCCGTTTTCTCGGCGCAGCATTTGAAGCAATGGACACGTTTATCAGCTCTCTATTGCGCACCAAGCAGTATGAATGGTGACCCAGAGTCAGTCGATCGGCAGGGTACTCGCAAATCTTCCAGGATGTCTGTCACGTGTGGGAGAGTAGCCCAGTACTGCCTAGAGGGGCTCGCCGGAGCTCCCTCTAGCTGAGGCCCCCCTTCTGCCAGCAGTGACACAAGCAAGCAATTCTAAAAGAGCCTCCTTATTATCTTTATCTGTGGGCACTTTGCTTTGCCATGAGAAATAATATAAAATATTTATATTTAGTATTAGCCTCAATTTTTTTTTGTACAACCGTATATGCTGTTATAAGCCAAATATTAGACTTTGCAAATTGTTGGCCCAGCAGGAAAGTAAGTGGTACATTTACCACTATTAGTCCTTGGTCTGATTAGACTTTAAGAGCAGGCAAACGGACCTTTCGATCAATCGCGATGCCGGGCTGCACACTGCACGCTTAGCCTATTTCAACACTCTTAAGATCAATTTGGATCAATCGGCATGTGGGTGACACACTCCAGAGTTTACCCATTGTAACAATTTAACATCAATTCGTCGCCCATGCCTGGAGGTCTGCAATGTCTCCCCTAGAACTCCTGCTGCAGGAGACTGGATGTGTCATCTTTAATCTCTCCCTCGTATGGTTCGTCATTCTTTTGCAATTGTATCATTCATTCGCATAGGTGGTCAGACAGCCTCCACGATTTTCCATTTTCACCACCGAAATAGAGTTTTTTTTTTAAAACAGGTAACAATTTGATTTCCTCAGATGTATGGTAATCTTGATGCAAAATTACCAAAGCGTATATTCTGCTCTTAAATGCAGACCCTATATGATTGTTATTCGCTAGAGCATGCCATGCTTATATGTTGGTATGGTGTAAAGTTAAGCACAATTCAGAAGTCGCCGGTTCTTTGTCCCTGCACGGCGATTAAAACGATGGCTAGGTCTCTTAAATGATCCCGCCTCTGTCCACCCAGCAGAATGAAAGGGTACACCAAAGTAATTTTATCGGCCAGTCGCATGTGATGGGGTAAAGTGTGGGTAATTCCACCTAGTCTAAGAGATCTGGCTCGTGTGGAAGAGTAGGCTACAATACCCTCGACTCGAAGAGTAGGCCATACGTTCCTCTGGAGGGCTTCTCTAGAGCTCCATTCTAATGAAGGCCCTTCTGTCAATGGTGGCATGAGCAAGCTATTGCAGAGCTGCACTTTTACCACCTACTAATACCATAGATTGCAATGTCGCTTTCATAGCACACAGTAATTTGGAGGTGGGGATGGTGGATTATGCATAGATGGATCCTGTGTAAGATGGAATTCATTGGTAAGACACCTGCAAATGGAGAAGTGCACAACGCATGTTTGTGATGTATTTGTGTGGCTTTTGTTATTGCTCAGTAACTTGGGTGTTCTCCAGGCATGTTAGTTTCCTCACGGACATATTCTCTGAAAATAATTTGTCAATCATGAATTTTATCTACGCCTTTGTGAGTAAATACGTTATTATTATGTAGGGTCACATACACAAAATAATAAACTTGGTTTATATACGAGCCCTTAATCATGTATTTAAGAGAAAAGTAAAAAACATTTCTGTTTCAAACATGCTTCAAAACATAATTTGAAATAAATACTGTATGTGCATTTACTTAACATATGTACTTAACATGTACGCTCAATATGTGCACATTACTACAACTGAATTGCGCGTATTAAGCCTGCGCGCGTATTCATTCCTAACTTCTCGTGCATGTTTTTTTGGGCCGCTCGCCCAGTGAGAATGTTGTGGTCATAACGTGGAAAATGTCGGCGACGAGTGTATCTATCTCACGTGCGGCAACTGCGAGGCGTGTACAAAGTAGATAATGTACCCGCAATCTGCAACAGCTGATAAGCATTTTGGAGTGTGGAAAGGTGGTATGTTAATGACGGGGCTTATCAGTGGCATTCTCATGCCACAATGGATTACATATACATGCACATATATTACCTTTCCAATATGTTTTTGGGTTGCGCCGCGTGTTGTTCGACATGTTGATGTCTGACGTTTTGTTTTGCATGGTGTAGGCTTATTCAGGAACACATCGGAGAGCCGTACAACAACAACAACAAAAACAACCTCCATGGTCATACTAAACACATTATTATTTGGTGATGCTGTTTTGGCATTGGTGCGCAAAGTGCAAATGATGTGCTCACATCGTTCGTGTAGGAGTTTAAGTACCTCGGGGCCTCTTTCGCGAGCGATGATGAGTGGGAGCAGGAGACCGGCCGGCTGATCGGTGCTGCGTCCGCAGTGATGCAGGCGCTGCACCGTTCCGTGATAATGAAGCGGGAGCTGAGTTCTCGAACAAAGCTGCCGGTTTACAGGTCGATCTACGTTCTCACCCTCACCTATGGTCATGAGTTTTGGGTAATGACCGAAAGGATGAGATCGCGGGTACAAGGGGCCGAAATGAGGTTTCTCCGCAGGGTTGCCGGGTTCACTCTCCGTGATCTGGTGAGGTGGTTTGGGCATCTGGTAAGGATGCCCCCCGGTAGACTCACCCCTGAAACTCTAGCGGCACGTCCCACTGGGCAAAGACCAAAGGGCCCGGCCCAGGATACGAGCTGCTGCTGCTGCTGCTGGCGGGACGATGTCGCTCGGCTGGCCTGGGAACGCCTGGGAATTCCCCTGGAAGAGCTAACGTCTGTATAGTAGTGTATAGTGTATTGGAGTGTATAGTAGTGGGTAGTGTAGTGTATAGTAGTGTGTAGTATATAGTGTAGTCTATAGTAGTGTATAGTGTAGTGTATAGTAGTGTATAGTGTAGTGTATAGTAGTTTATAGCAGTGTATAGTGTAGTGTATAATGTGGTGTATAGTAGTGTATAGTGCAGTGCAAAGTAGTGTATAGTAGTGTATAGTGTAGTGTATAGGCGTGTATAGTGTAGTGTATAGGCGTGTATAGTGTAGTGTATAGGCGTGTAAAGTGTAGTGTATAGTAGTGTATAGTGTAGTGTATAGTGTGGTGTATCGTGTAGTACTATAGTGCTGGAGTCCATTGCCAGCGAAAGGGAGGTCGGGACCACCCTACTCAACATGCTTGGGCCACAACCCTCACCAGGACATGCGGATTGAGAAACGAACAAACGTAGCGTATTAAATACCATTTATTTTTAAGGCAGTGTTATTGACGATTGTGTTGATTGTTTTGTAATACGAATATGTTATGTTTTTCTTTAGTACAATCGCATATTCTATACAATTCAACATATATATTGACAACTTATGGGAATAATTCAACTGCAATTGTGGTGTGTCACGTTGGCGACCATTACACATTATGCTTGTTTTTTAATTGCTAGGAATAAAACTAAATCGGTACATTGATTTTTAGCACGATAATTTACCTTTTTCAGAACTAAGTCATGGCTAAAATGAAAAATGAGTTCATCAACCACCTTTTAACATCTGTTGCCGATATGGAAAGAAACTGATACCATTGCCAATATATATAGAAAACGCAAGGAATATTTGTTTCCTCAACTTTCTCAATGTGGTCAGATCAATATTTTATTTGTTGTCTGTTTGTGCCAAAATTCACGTGTGTGATGCATGTGCACCCTCTTTTCAGACGTCTAAAATTTTAGTAATCTCTTTGATGGGAATGGGTTGATATTGGATTCCTGTTGCTTAGAAAGCCTTTGAGGTCAAGTCAATGGAATGGCCTGGGGAGGATCGGTCAATACCTTGTGATGTGATGTTTTCAATTAACTGGGATCAATTACCAAGCTTCACACTCTGAATGAAACATCACAAGAACTTTTTCAAAACCAATTTAAGATGTTAATAGTGGTTAATTCATCATTGCTTTAAAGCACTTGTACCGTAAATAATTGAGAGGAATGTCAAGCAAAAAGGAAAAATGTGTACAGAGAAATATAATTACATGGAAACTGAGGGGTTGTCTCAAAATACTGCATTGCCATTATATATATTTTCACTCTCTAACAATGACAACAATTAAATGTCTTTGAAAGGGCCATCCATTAATCTGCATAAAGTGCGGATTTTGCTGCGCTGCAGCGTGGAAGTGGAGCTATGATTTATAGCCAGCGGCTAATGGAAGCTATTGTCCTGACTCTAGTGGTCACGTGATGTAATGACCCTGCACTCATGAACCATTGCCTTTAACCGTAGTTGCACAGATGATGCATTTTGGGATAGCTGTGCCTCATGGATGTATTTACACCAACACAAAAATATGTTTTCTCCACGCGGGCTTACATTTGCAGAGATATATTTTGGTGGCTTTATAAGATAATCCCTGCTGGTTTGGCTGTACATAAACAGTTCATCTTCTGGACACGTCACTGGTTTTAATGCAATAGAACCTGTGTAAATTTTGCAATATATTTTTAATAAAAGATTTAAGGCTTTTACTTTGGCCTAGACTCGGCAGATTTTTCATAGTGGACTTTGCCACAGCGGTTAGTGTTGTTGCAAGGAATGTATTTGCCACTTATGAATTGGCCATCGTGTAATGTTGGCCAGTGGAGTGAAAGTCCTTTCCACAAATGCTATCCAAATGTCACCATAGCATCGTGACAAATTTAGACGATCCCTGTTTCACAGAGGAGCTGACCAATCAGGCTGCACTTTGATACAGACATCTACGAATGAGTGTGTCTATTTGTGCACTGAGCAGGATGGCCCCACGAATAACAATACGAATAATG